TCTCATATGCATGTGAAAGTTGGATGTTGAATAAGAAAGACTGTAGAAAAATTTATGCATTTGAATTATGGTATTGGAGGAGAATATTAAGATTATCATGAACTGCCAAAAGAACAAACCAATCTGTGTTGGAAAAAGTGCAGCCAGAATGCTCCTTGGAGGCCAGGATGGCCAGACTTCGTCTCTCATACTTCAGACAGATTGTCAGGAGGGACCAGTCCCTGCACAAAGGTATCATATTATGGAGGTACTAACCAGGCTAATTCAGCAATAATTGAAATAAAAAGACACCCAGATTTAAAACTAATCAGTTATTGGTGATGGTTGCACAATCTGGGGGATTTATTGAAAAACATTGATGTGTATGTGTAAAAATCATTACTTTATGGCATATGAATTATATCTCATTTTTAAATAAAATATACCCATTGATGAGTCTGTTTCCTTGCTTAGAAAGGAAAAAAATAAAATGAGAAGAATTCTAGCCATTCTTCTCTAACTTGCTTCCATTTCCCCAAACAAAAGACTTTATTCTTATGACATGAATTATTGGTTTATATTTTGCCTCTCTAGCTCATTCAGAGAAACATGAGGAATCAGTTACATTGGGGAGCCCAGATTCCCATACTATCAGTGAAGGACAAAAGTCTTCAGGCATTTCAAAAACAAGGAAAGGCAAAGAAAAGTCTTCTGAGAAAGAAAAGACTGCCAAGGATAAACAAGCGACTCGCTTTGAGCCTCAGGTGAGTGTATTTAAGTAGAATGCAAAAATTTTAATTACGCACAACAGTAAGTGTTGTTGTTGTTGTTGTTAGATGTCTTCAAGTCGGTTGGGACTCATAGTGACTTTATGTACAACAGAATGAACCACCACCGGTTCTGCACCATCCTCACAATTGTTGCTTCGCTTGAACCCATTGCTGCCGCCACTATGCCAATCCATCTCATTAGGGGTCTTCCTCTTTTTTGGTGACCCTCCACTTTACCTAGCATGATGCCTTTCTCCAGGGGCTGGGCTCTCCTGGTAATATGTCTGAAGTATGATAAATGAAGTCTTGCCATACTGGCTTCTGAGGAACATTCTGGCTGTACTTCTTCCAACACAGATTGGTTTATTCTTTTGGCAGTCCATGGTATTTTTAATATTTTTCTCCAAAACCATAACTCTAATGCATCAATTCTTCTACAGTATTCCAACTTTCACATGCAAATGAAGCTATTGAAAATATCACAGGTCAGGTACACCTTAGTGTCCACAAATGTATTCATCAAGTAAATAACCTACACCCCTCACAATGTTTTGATTATGGAACATTTCCATGTTGTTGTTGTTGTTGTCAGGTGCCATCGAGTCGGAACCGACTCATAGCGACTCCATGCACAGCAGAACGAAACAATGTTCGATCCTG